ATTTTGAAACGTCAATATTTTTAGAAAAATAAACTCTACAAAATTTTTTGGAAATGATTAAATAAAAATATATATTTTTTAAATTTTTTACAAAAACATTAAAATAAATTTAAAAATGAAACAATTGTAGTTCTTATCCCTGTGAATCTTATTATAAAACCAGAATTTTGATATCTCCATTATTTTGTGAGATATCGCAATAGGTAAATCCTCGCGGGACACTGTATATAGTACGCAGGGGTGGCCAACATGAATACGTCCACGAGCCATAATAACCCAAAAATGTGTGTGATCGCTTGTATTGTTTTGAATAATAATAATGTTTTTAAAATAATAATTATTATGTGTAATACAATAATATTGAGAGGACGCCACACCCGTTTTGTTGTCTCAGTGACTCAGTCCTACAAACGCATAGGTATATCATGACACATTTACGCTCAGCAGTTTCTGTTTTACTCCGTTACCTTAAACATTTTAGTAAATAAACCTAATATAAAACTTGATGGTAAGAATATTATCTGTGTTTTGTTGGAAGTATTTTTACGATAATTCAGTTTTCGAGAATAGTAGTATACATTTTTATATGTATGATAAATCAACAGTAATATAATTTAATTTAAATCTCTACATAACATTGCCAACATATTATTATTTGTTAGTGTCATCGGTGACCATTCGGCGTCATAGTAACTAAACATTAACTACCAAACCAGTCGAATATTTTATTTTTATTTTTGTATTTATGATTTATTACCTACTGACAAACTTATACCATAAATAAAATGTTAAAGGAAAATTAATTTCAAAATCAAATTAAACATAATAAAATACACGTCACGGATGTCATAATAATATACATATAATAAGGAGAATAGGTATATCATTGGACAGTTCATTGCAGCAAAAATAAAAATAAACGAAAAATAGTTTGTAACTTTTTTGTATTCAATAGGTAAAACAAACTTAATACACATTAAGACTATGAGGGGAAGAACATGTGTACTCCCCATTAACATATAGGTACACAAAATAACTTTAATAATAATTATATACACCAGTAGTAAATTTTTGTAAAGAAAATATTGTTCAAACGATGAAAAAAAAAAAAAAAAACGAAAAATATAATAACACGTTAACAGACGACTCGCACGCGGTTAATCCACGTCGTCCGCTACTCATCGCAGAACGCGGCGATGAGTGACACGTTACGAGTCGGTCATAGATGCAGGTTTGGTAACAGAAGAAGAAGACGACGATGTGCCCGGTGGCGGAGGGGGCGCGTAAGAGGATTTTTTCTTGATCCTGATTTTCGGTTCTTTGGACGCGCCGCCGTTGTCCTCCTCGACGAGGCTCTCGAAATTGCGTATCCCGGCGGCGGCGGCGGCAGCGGCACTCAGGTGGTCGGCCCGCTTTCTGTAGCTGCCGGTGCTCGACTGAGACTCCGCAACTGACCGGCCGTCGCCCTCGTCCCTCTTGTTCAGCTCGCCGTACGCCGTTTCCTGCGCGCTGTCCCCGCCACCGAACCTCTTCAGCATCGACGGCGACAGCCAACCGGACCGGCTGTCCTTGCCGGCGTGCTGCTGTTGGTGATGAACGTGATTGTGGTGATTCTGCTGTTTGTCGAGGGACAGCAGYTTGAGCAGGGACGGCGCCAGACCAAGTCCGATTTTCCGCTCATGGTACACTTCCGAGATCGTCGGTTTAGGTTCGTAGTTGAGCTTCCGCAGCTGCGACGTTCTGATGTGGTCCTGCAGACCGCTGTTCACCACGTCTACGTTAGGCTGAACCTTTGACGGCGGCGGTTCCTTTTCCGATATGTCCAGCACCTGGGCAAGATACAGGGACATCTTGTCTGCGTCGTCCGACTGGTGGTTCGGTTCGGTGTCCACCGCCACGATCTTGTCCAGAATGTCGTTGGCCTTGTGTAGTTTCTTGATCGGAGGTATAGGAGGTAGCGAATGAGTTCCACGTCGGAGTATGGTAGAGTGCCCGTTTCCTGTAAGATCGAAAAAAAAACACTTATCAGAAGTCGTTCAACCAACGTGGACAACAGTATAATTGGCTAAGGGCACCCATTGAGGGAGCAAGGGGGGGGGGCGTACTCCTAGAAAATTCTATGTGCTTTAAATCTATCAACTTTTTCATATAGTTTAATACCATCATTAATATTTGATCCTCCATTATACTTGATACCATAGGTCCATAGATAGACTTATGCTTAATACTAATTACTCCATTAGTGAACCAGTCATTTAATAATATGTTAGAACATATAAAATAGGTTTTAAAATCTAGTTTCATTTTGCCTCCCCTCCCTTTAAAATTATCCAATGGGCGTCCATATAAGTGGCGTACGAAAATAAAAAGATTTTTGTGCCGTCAACGATCGCCGAATATGGTAAGTTAATACTAGCGTTACTATATGTACGGGAATAATATGTCTATATAATATGTTTTAAGTCGTAGAGTAAAATTACGGCGTCAACATCGAATTCTTTATATATAAAAAAAAAAAA